GAACTTGCCCCCCAAATCGTTAGAGAATAAATAGGCTTTTGCAGCATTGCCAGAAAGCCACATTTGGGCTATTTTGGACCAAGAAGGTGAGAATAGGGAACAAGTTCCAAAGTTCTCATGAAGAATGCCCTTCTAGTATCTTTGAATTCACTGGTTTGTAAATTTATTTGAGATCCTTAGCTGAAAGTCACCCAGGAAGTGCAAAGTGTCTTTATGATATGAGAAAATTTTGGAAATACAGCAGCTTATGACACTTCCTTTAGAACAGGCAAATCTTATGCCAGTTTCAACAGAACTAAAACAGGATGCAGTGAAGGGCACATTGCAAAGAATTCCAGTTTTCCAAAACTTGGGACACTTCTCTGAAGTTGATCCAAAGGACCTGAACCTCTTGAGTAGGCAACAGTATGACAAAAGGATTCTCTCAGTGGTAGCAATGTTGGGTACCTTGTTCGCATTGGATACATTGGTCTCTTTACACATTGGCTCTGCATAGCACCTTCAGTGTCTGTAGGGTGACCAGACAGCAAGTGTGAAAAATTGGGATGGGGGTAGGAGGTAATAGGCATCTATATAAGAAAAAGCCCCAAATATCGGGACTGTCCCTATAAAATCGGGACATCTGGTCACCCTAAGTGTCTGCTGCCTCCTTGGTTCTTCTGGGGAAGTCTGAATAATGTGATTCCTCTCCTTTTACTCAGGGCTCCAAGGAGGAAGCTGATATTGCTTACAGCACATTCCTGCTTCAAGCGAACAAAGTAGCCCAGGGCGAGGCTTAGCAAGTTCCTCGACTGTCCCAGTACAATCGCTTCTGAAGATGGGACAAGGAAAAAGCAATAATGATTGAAAACACTCCTGTGTTCTGAATCAGTGAACAACAGATCTGCAAGTTGCACTATTTCTTACTGTCAAGCAAACATTTTAATGCATCTAGATCTTTCAGTTCCTCAAAGATTTTTAATGAGGTTGTGCGTGGTGATATAATAAGAATCTTCTGGCCAAAAATAAGTTGCCTTGGGGAAGTTGAACCCTCAGAAGTTTGATTTTTTTCTTTTTTTAGGGCAAAGGATCTCATTTCAAGCAGATTTGAGGTGAAATATCAATAAAGCTCTAATGCCTTTGCTTTCCTGCAGGCTGAGCTCACACCTTTTGGAGTTCACCAAGCCCCAAGGATGGCAATGACCTAAGGATGCATTTAAGATTCACATCTCATTTGATTTTAAAGCACCAGGAGATATTTTAGAACAATGTGAGTCTCTCTTTTGATTCCTGTGAGCTTTTTAATCTATAAGGTAGTAGCTGTAGGGCAGACAAGTAGCCTGAAATTGTTTTTTTCTTCACAGCCAATAAAGAATCTGATTGTATTTTAGCAAATCAGTAATTCTGTTCAATTTCTGATACCACATGGAGTGAATGCCATGGGAAGAGGCACATTTTTGCAAGGGGCTGGCCAGGGATAAAAAAACACTTGGGATTTGGGGTTATCTCCTAGTTTTTGTCACTCAAAACCAGAAACCTCTGGAGATACCAGGTACATTTATGCCATACTGTAACACATACAGTTAGGGCTAGATTCTCTCCTGTGCTGGGATCTGCTCATTATAGTGGAGTAAGAATGCGGGTTGTCTGGGAGCCAGTCAAGATCTCAGGGTAAATTACAGCAGCACAGGGGGATTAGAAAGATTGGCATCTAACTCTTATCTCTTGCTGGTCCATCTTCTAGGTGCCAAGAACACTCATAACAAGCCCTCCTATGTTCCTCCCAGGGTCTGCACTAACATAACTGGTCCTCAAGGAACCGTACACCAACTGAGAATTGGTAGAGCACAACTGTGCTCAGCTACCCATCCTCTCCTGTCCCCAGCACTTCCCCTACCCCAGGGATGGGTGATTACTGGCACAGGAAATGGAGGTGCCTGGCTTTTCACCAAGGGGGTTCTCATCTGGCCCGATTCTGGCTTCTTTATGCCCCTTGCGCAGTGCAAAGGAGCTGGTTTGAGGAAGAAAATCTGACCCAGGTTAAACCCTTATCTCTTGCCATCCTGACTTCTAGGTGCCAGGATCCCCTCTGGTTGGGCCTTCTCGTCTCCCTTCTGAGATCATCAGGGTAACAGGCCACCGGCACTGACTGTCAATTGAACTCCAGTGGCTGTCTCAGATATGGAGATGGGCTAAAGCAGAGGGAACAAACAGCTTCACACTCGCTATCAATAGAATCCTTCATCCAGAGAACCAAAAGATCTGGTTAGGATCCTGAGGTAGGGATACTGACCTTCCTCATTCCATAGCGTTTGGTACAGAAAACACACCTGACCAGCCAGCAATCTATTGACACAGGCTCCCGTCTCATCTCTGTGAAGGGCAGCTGGGGCGGCAGCAAGTTTAGGGCAAAAAGACCTTGTGTTTGGGACATTTCGAATTATTTCATGCTCACTGCAGCATCTGGGGCCCTGTGTGCTGGTTTCTGTGCTGCTTCTGAGACTTGGAAAAGCCATGGGAGAAATTAATAAAAAATAGCACAACGTACAAACAAGTCTGAGTCCTTTGGTTAGTGCCAGATCCTTGTACTTCTATAACCAACCTGTTCTCTTGCTGCCTTATTTGTGAACTATTAAAAGTTTTATACGTTAACTATTATTTCTATGACAGTACTCCTAGGGACCACAGTCATGGGTCAGGTCCCTCAAAGAGCTTACAATCTGAGTATAAGAGGAGAGACAAGAGGTGGAGACAGACAGGGGAACAAAGTAACAACGAGACAAAACCGGTCAGCATGAAAAGCAGGTGGTCTCAGCAAATCAGCTGCCTAAGCACTGTCCTTAAACAGAGCAGTGAATGAACACATTTCACTTTGCTGAAGACATTAGATAGGGCCTTTGCCGTAATGAGGTTCCAACCAAACATACACAAATACAAAACATGGGACGGTGGTTCACACGTGAGAGGGTACAAGGGAAAATGTTGGAAAGTTTCATGGAGGGTTTTCAGAAGGGGGGTGCTTGACACGTGGAAAGCGGGAGGCTGTTTCAGGGAGAGGAGGCATGAGACAGAGTGGGAGAATCTTGCCCGCATGCTCGGGGTTCTGCTGATCGCCATATTTGGGGTCGGGAAGGAATTTTCCTCCAGGGTAGATTGGCAGAGGCCCTGGAGGTTTTTCGCCTTCCTCCGCAGCATGGGGCAGGGGTCGCTTGCTGGAGAATTCTCTGCGACTTGAAGTCTTTAAATCATGATTTGGGGACTTCAACAGCTGAGTCAAGGAAGAGAATTATTCCAGGAGTGGGTGGGTCAGCTTTTGTGGCCTGCATCATGCGGGAGGTCAGACAAGATGATCATAATGGTCCCTTCTGACCTTAAAGTCTATGAGTCTATGAGAAAAAGGAGAAGTGAAGAGTTTTAAACCCCACTCAGACGTTTCGAACATGGATCCTGATCCAAAGTCCATTGGAGTCAATGGGAGTCTTTCCAATGACTTTGATGGGCTTTGATTCAGGTCTATTGGGTCTGACTCCCCTCTCAGTAACACCAGTATAAACAAGGGGACGTCACTGCCCTGAAGTCAGTGGCATTGCCATGATGTGAAACTGGTGTAAACAGGAAGAAAATCAGGCCCATAGTCTTCATGTTCAAGAAAATGTTCTGACAAGTTCTCGGTTCCACAGGGTTCCATGACGACACCCGCAGTGCAGGCAGTGTTATTTCCTGACCTCGCCACCCGCCTACTTCAGAGAAAGCCCTTGTGGTTTGTCAGAGCTGGGAGGAAGCATGAGAGCTTTGCTCGGCTACTAGGAGGGGACGATGCTAGCGATAACACTGAAGCTAGCAAAAGGGGCAGACCCTGCCTCACACCACCTGCTCGGAGATGCATGAACACTTCCTATATTACTGTACCACACACTATAAGCAAAAATAGGCTGTTTTTTTTTAAGTAACACTGACTTGGTTCTCACAACCTATAAAAGGGATATAAATACATATTGGCCAAAGGAAGGGTGTGCCTGCTATGGGCCACTCATGTATCACCCTATTATAGGGTGACCAGATAGCAAGAGTGAAAAATTGGGACAAGGGTTGGGGGGGTAATAGGCACCTATATAAGTCAAAGCCCCAAATATCAGGACTGTCCCTATAAAATCGGGACATCTGGTCACCCTACCCTATTAATTCCTTCAGTGAAAGCACTGATTGGAGGTCAGTGATGCTACATGTCTTTATTTTAATAATGTGCGGCTGAAAGGAACCAGGCGGACAGCCCTGGAGACCGGGAACCATGGAAGAGTTCCAAGGAGGACAGCAGGAAAGCGAGGCTGCCTCCCTCCACAAGCCCTATGCACCTCAGCCCGAAGGACCAGGGGAGAGAGAGAGAGAGTTTGCTCTCTGTATCTAGGCTCCTTCCCTTTGTTTTTTCACCCTCTCTCACTGTCTTCCCCAGCTTTACTCATTGTTTTTTCCCACCGGATTGTCACTCTCACTTCCCCTTGGTGCTCCCTTTCCCACACTCTTGCTCAAGCAGAACATGAAAGCAGGAACATCCAAGATCAGCCTGAACTCTGGGACTCCGGTAGTTCAAATAGGGTTGAAATAACCTCATGCCGTATTGGTGATGCTAAGCATAATTGGCCTGACTCTACGGGCATGTCTACACGGCAGAGGTGTCACTGCAGCATGTGTAGACATACCCAAAATAGATATCTAGCTAGCTCCAAAAACGAGAGCAGTGAAGCCATGGCAGCACAGGGTGCAGCTTGGGCTAGTCACTCGAATACATATCCAGAGTCCTGGATGGGCTTTCGCAGCCCATGCTGCCACCCGTGCTTTTGTGGGTGTTACTGGAGCTAGCTAGATCCAACCTAGCTCAGGTATGTCTACACATGCTACAACTTCCTTTGACTCAGAGTGCCCCTTTGCGTGCATCAGCTTAACTTTGGGTGTGCTGAGGGCACTGTTTGTTTTGTGGGCTTTTTTGTGAAAAACTCATCTTTATTTTCCAGAAATATACACGCTTAATCTCTCATTTCTCCATCTTCTTCTTCTACTCCTCTGATGCACAGGACGTTGTTACATCTTATCAAAACTTCACCAAGGTGGCCTGACAAGGCACCACCTATGTATTCTTCTGTGTTGGCAAGCTGCATGTTCATGTAGCCATCGACAGACACCAGGTAGCCCTTGGACTCCATCCCCCACTTCAGCTTCTCCGTCACCGGCTTCCCCTTCAGCCCATTCAGGAAGGGCTTGCGGTTCAGGGGCAAGCTCGTGGTAACGCGGCCTGGCACAAGGCAGCGGTAAAAACAAAAATTACTCGCAGCACTGTTAGCAAGCAGGCAGAGCAGCCACACAGAGTAGCTAGTGAACACTAGCTCGTGCACAGCAGCTACTCTGGGCTTTTCCCCCGTGTAGACAAGCCCAGGGTGTAAAGGAAGGTTTACGCTGCATTGATCACAGGACTGATGCTCAGATGACATACGTGAAGAGGAACAAGTGCTGCTGCTTTGGGTTGGTTTTTACTTTGCAGCTCCTGTGTTTTTAACCGTACGTCTAAAGCACCCGGAGCTTTGGATGGTGGGGGCGGAGTGCCCTTTGATGTGGGGCTCAGATCAGACAGAAATCTAAAGAAAGAAAGAAAATCATTCAGTCCAGGTGCAACCTCACAACAGGGTTACACCTGGGATGAATTTGGTCCAATATGTTTTGAAGCCTCCTATAAAACTTCCTTTATGGTTTGCATACCATTTGTATTTGTAGCGCGAGAAAGGATCTGATACAGGACCTCAAGCATAGCGAGTTCTTTTTGTTGCTTTCCTCCTTTCTGTTACTGGAAATACGTGCCACAGGAAGCAAGCAGCCATCACGGAGTGTGCTCTAACTCCTGTTTTACAAAGGGAGAAGATGGAGTTCATCAGTATGTTACTTTTCTTGCTGCAAGGTAAGAGTTGTATAGATTAAAAAAGCGCGTCAGGGAGTCCAAATGGAGATAGCAGGTAAGAACAAAGAAGATGTTTGAGCTTTATTTTTAGACTTGGGACATCTACAGTTAAACAGTTTACTGGGCCTGTTTGCTTTTATCATAAATTGCAGAGGGTTTTTACCCTCCAAGAACGTCCAATGTGATTTGTAAAACTTGGCGGGGGGGAGGGAATGAAGGGTCTGGCAGGTGGGTAAACCTGAAATGTCAGGAATTGTTCGACCCTGGACCATGAAATATTTCTGTGGCTTTCCAAGAACATTGAATAGCTGGAGATGCTTTAATTCTGCAGGACAAAAGAACATTTTCATTTTAGAGATGTTTATCATGTGAGCCTTGTTTCTAATGCAGAGTGATTTACAAACCTAAGTTAGTTAATTGGGCACACAACGTTAACTTAATGTTAGCTAAGTTGGGATAGTGGGCACCTAAAAGCTTTCAAGTGAACTCATGTTTGTAAATTGGATCCAGTATGTTAAAGATATAGGGGTGAAATCCTGAATCCATTGAAGTCAATGAGAGTTTTGGTATTGACTTCAAAGGAGCCAGGATTTTACCCATAGGGTCAAGTCCAGCCAGCCATCCTTACTCAAGCAAAACTCATATTGCAATCAAGTTTTCCATCTGGAAGCAACTCTTTCCCATACTGCATCAGAAACTGCTGGATTTTGTGCATAATTATAAGCACTCCTACAGCATGTTGTTTGGTGGTTAGCAAGCCATTAGCTTCCTCACTGTAGTAATGTGTGGAATTTATCCTGCTATTTTTATCAAGCTAGGCCCAGGAAAATAGATCACAGCAAGGGCTTACTGCACAGATAGATAGATGGGGAACCCTGCCCATACCCAGATGTTTTACTTTATTGAATTATTGATTGATTTATAAACTGTGCCCTCCCTTCCTTAGCTCAGGACACATGAATAACATGCAATAAAAACATGGAGCCTGATCTTACATGAAGCCTGTTGGGACTTTGTGCTCCAGAAAATCGGTCTTTACTCCCAAAAAGCCAACAGAAAAGGGCATTACCAAACCAGAAAACAATTCCCGCCCATTCAGATCAACCCTCCCTCAGGCAAACATCGAACAGAAGGTCACTGCGGTATATGCTGAAGGTCGACAGACCTGGGCACTGTTACACTAGAGGGGGATTGAATTCCAGAGCTGGGAACCTTCATGTTTAAATACAAGGAGAATTCAAACAGGTGCCCTAGCGGAACTCAGACGCTGCAGTGACAAACAGGGTGGAAGGATCAGAACCCTAGCCATTCAGAGACATATAATGTTGATCAAGTGAATGCTGCGAACCGCGGCCACTGGGAGCTGTGGGCGACCATGCCTGCGGATGGTCAATGTAAATAAACTGTCTCACAGCCCGCCAGCGGATTACCCTGACGGGCCGCAGGTTGCCCACCACTCTTGTAGAGTCTCTGTCATTGGAGGTTTTTAAGAACAGCCGTTAGACAAACACCTGTCAGGAATGGTCTGGTTATTTTGTAGTCCTGCCTTGAGCGCAGGGGACTGGACTAGCTGACCTACTGAGGTCCCTTCCAGTCCTACACGTCTATGATTCTATAAAGGGGCCTAAGGCCTTGTCTTCACTCATATTTTACCTTGTGTGAGTTATCACATGGTCAGGACCCACATTTTTGCCTAGTGAAGACAGTGCCTTGGTGTGACGCCCCTTTAGCATAAATGTGACTCAGGCCCTGTGACTTCTTTCTCTGTGTCATCAGTTTCAGGTGCAGCAAGACGATGCATTCAAGTGACTGGTGAGGTTGGAGGATCCATCACCATAAAGTGTCCTGTGAAGGACATTTCCACTCGAAAATTCTGGTGCAGGGAGCTCGAGATAGGGGTCTGTGGCACCATCATCTCCACCTCTCCATTCATCAGTGAGAATTACAGGAATAGAATATCCATCACTGAGAGGCCTCAGGAAAGAATATTTCAAATTACAATCACAAGGCTAGAAGAGGAGGACACGGGGCTGTACACGTGTGGGACAGGATTTCTAAACGACAAAGGCAGTGGAAGGACCCTCCAAGTGGAGCTGAAGGTTTCTAATGGTACGGGATCACTCCATAGTCACTCTGTACAGTATCTCTCTCTCTATCTCTACAGTGCAGTATCATGCAGGGGTACCATGTCACTGATGCTACAGTATCACTCTGATGGAATGGTGTCACTGCTAATCCAATATCACTCTGTACAGTATCACTGCAGACACAGTGCCACCGAGGCTATGTGATCACTCTGTACAGGATCATTCCGGTTGTACAGTGTCATTGGTGATGCATGATCACTCTGTGAAATACCTCTTACAGTCTAGCTTTAGTAATGAAAATTGGATCGTGACTTTTTAGCATGTGCTCTAGGAACACATCTGGTTCTGTTCCATGCAGGGAATGCTCCACCCAGAATGGGCATGTTGTCTGCTGAACCCCTGAGATGTGACAGACCTATTGTGGTACCAACAGAGTCTGGCAACAAAGGTGCTGACACTCAAGGTGAGGTTTGCTGCATCCCTCTCTATAGCCTCACGGGAGGAGAGGGAAGGGAATTGGCACTAACTGGTCCCCATCTCTCCCTTAGAGTGGGGGAGATCTCTCAAGTTCACACTAATGAGGTGATGCACGTGGGAATCGTATGCCACAGCTGCCTGGGCTGTGCCTGTTTGGTAGCTTTCAGGGCACCTTTCACCAGCACTGGATTCACTAATGTATAATTGTCTATCTAATCTAGGAATTTATCTGCTTCCCCCTCATCATTGTGGTATCAGAGCGCCTCACAATTGTTAATGGGTTTTATCCTCACAGCCTCCCTGTGAGGTGGAAGTATCCTCCCTATTTGACAGATGGGGATCTGAGCCCCAAGGTAGTCTAAGTGACTTGCCCACGCTCACACAGGAAGTCTGTGGCAGACTCAAATCTCCTGAGCCCCGGTCTGCTGATTTCCCTGTGAGATTTTCTTTCCTCTCTAAAAGAAAATCATCAACCAATCCTAAATACTGAGGCATTTATTTTTGAATGTTCCCATCAAGATTAAGCCTCTTAGGACTCAACAAGTTGTTGTAGTTTTTTGTTACCCTCTCTGACTAAATTTATAAACACGTGGCAGTTGTCGCTGCTAATATATTCAGAATACCAGGCTCCTGGATCTTAGTTAATAGGGCTTTAGATCTTCCCTTGTATGAGTGCACAGGCATGAAGGCCAGACAATGCTGTGTACCACACATCCCTTCTTCTTGTTCTTTTAGGACTGGGGCTTGTTTCCTCCATTCCTTTCCCTGGGGCTGTTGGCTTGTATTGCCAGCACTAGGACAATATGGACCTGGCTGTGCTGTAATGGTTATATTCAGTGTGAGTCTTGATTTGGCTCTCAGTTAGACTGGAGTGTGGAGTGACTGCATTAAAATCAATGAAGTCATATTTGTGGACAATGGGTGTAAGGGAGAGGCAGTGCGGCCTCATGAATAGGGCATTGGATTGGGGCTCTGGAAACTTGAGGCAGGTCTTCAGCTGGTGCATAATAATTTATGCCAGTTGTAGATCTGCCGCTCTGGTTCTCTTCCCAGCTCTACCACAGATTTGCTGGGTGACTTTGGACAAGTCACTTCATCTGTACCTCAACTTCCCCAGCTGTAAAATGGGGATAATAATATTGACTTCTTTTCTAACATGTTCTCAGCTCTAAAGAATGTACATTTTTAATGAGGTAGGTATGTTAATTATTATTATTAATTATCCCTCCGTATTAACAATGGGGATGGTTGTTGTTTTTTAAACAAACAGCCTTCAAAACATAAAAGATCTTTAAGCTTAAAAGGGGAAAGCTGCTGTCTAAAATTTATCCCCAGGAGTCATAATAAATCCTGACCACAAACTGACTCTGTTGGCTTGAGTAGTCAGGAGTTTTGTTAAACTTTCTGCAGAATTCCTGCATTTTAGGTGCTCAGATGCACTGGTTCTCCTATGACTTGCCTTAAAATTCTCACAGTGCCTAAGAGCGCTGACTTCTGGAGGTCACCGATCGGGATGTATTGCACTCCTAATGTATTCCTGAGCTGCTCATTCATACCCTGAGGAATTGCTCCAATAATCCCTGAGATTGTCTTTGTTCTAGTTTCCCATAATCATTCCACTTCATGGGAAAGTGCTTCAAACCTCGCTATCTTCTCTTCTTGTTTCTTTTTTAATGTTTTTTTGCTGGTATGATCATATCAATTATCATCGCCTTATTTGTCTTCTTTTCTACAACAGCTATGTTCAGCCTGTTTGCCTGCTCTATTCTGTCTGTGCCAATGGCCCGAGTCCATAAAATCTTAGCCTCTTCATTCTCTAGAGGGTTTTCAATTTGGTAATCATAATACTGCATAGGGCGTTTAAATCTGTACTTGCCACAGAGGCTCCAATGCAGACACTTGGCAAGGTCATTGTGTCTGTCCATATATTCTCTCCCAGCCAGACTCCAGCCTATTATATTATTAATTAATGATGAATGATTAATTACTCTTATACGAGAGCAGAACCATGTCCGCTGTGTTCAAGAATCTAGATTTTTTGCAGTAAATGTCTATTTATCATGGATCATCAGTAATATCCTTCAAAGATAGTGACTGGCTCCAGTCCTACAATTAGCATCTTTGATCCTCAAGGGCAAACAAAGACTAAATCCTAACCTCAGCTATGCCCACCTACTGAATACAGTATGAGGAAATGAGAGCAGAATATTGCTCAAGAGCTTTACAGTTTAAAAAACAAAAAGCCCACGCCAAATTTGGGTCTCACTCATACTGGTGTAAATCAATGATTCTCAAACTTTTGTACTGGTGACCCCTTTCACACAGCAAGTCTCTGAGTGTGACCCCCCCCCCTTATGAATTAAAAACACTTTTAAATATATTTAACATCATTATAAATGCTGGAGGCAAAGCGGGATTTGGGGTGGAAGCTGCCAGCTCATGACCCCCCCACATAACCACCTCATGACCCCCTGAGGGGTCCCGACCCCCAGTTTGAGAACCCCTGGTGTAAATCCATGTAACTCCACTGAAGTCAATGGAGTGTCTCCAGATTGATATAGGTGTGAGATTAGCATTTGCCCCTCGCACTCATCCCTAGTTTTGACTTTGAAACTTGCTTTATTGGAAAAGATACACGTGTTCAAGAATGGGAAATGTAGCAACAGTTCATTTTAATATGCTTTCCCCCAGGAGTCACACAACCACAGATGACTAATGGAGCATGGGCAAAATATACCTCCTATGCTGCACCTGGCATCAAATTCCCTGAGAATACGATAATTACGCCTGCAGACGTCACTGGCAGCACTGTTACCTATGCAGCGTCTGGAAGTATAACAAAGGGGATTCCAAAGACTTCCAGGACAATCGGCTATGCACATCCCAGGCATACAAAGCGGTGAGTTCCACAAACTTTCCCCCATCTGTGATTTTCCAGCATGAACTCTCCCCTAGCTTATTTCATTTCCTCTCAAGCTTACAAATATTACCGGGTCAACCATGCTGTTTGTGTGACGAGTGGATCTGCATGTCAGAACTGGCAGTAAAACCACTTCCCCCTTTGACTCAATATTTTCCAGCCTCTTGAGAAGCAATTATGGGAATGATGTCTTTCAAATCCTGATACCAATTCTCCTGATAATGCTGCTGCTTGTGGCTTCTGTGATAATTGTTAGAAAACAGGTACGAGGGAAGAAAGGTAAGAGAAAGGTCACATACTTCTTATACCAGTCTGTGGTACCTGCCACTCTGTGGTAAAAAGAAACGACAAGACAGTTTCCACAGTCGGAGAACTATAAGTTCTCTTTGAAAAGGATTGATTTCTGCTTTGGATAAATTCACATAATTCCTTGCCTCTTGCAGAAAATAATGTTTTTATTTTTCACTATGAAAACTGCAGGTAGCTGCAAAAGCAAAACGGTAAAGTGGATCAAATTCACGAATACTCGTGAAAATAGCTGATGTTTGCACAGATATTTTATTCTATTCTATTTTGGTTCTTGTGCCATACCCACCACACTTGCACCTATCACATCAAGGGGAAAATTACCAGTCAGCTGGCTTCATTTCTAGGGAAAAAACCAAACAAACCAAACAGCTAGATAGGCAATAAAACAATTTCAGCTGAAACTTAAAACCTACGTTGTGAACATCCATATCTGATGACTGAGTGTTCGTTGCCATGTCCCGGCCAAATTCTAATTTGACTAATTACATTCTGCCTGCATAAAATTGCCCTATAGTTTCAATTCGCGCTTTTTCGTTTACTTAACCTATTTCATTTGCTCACCTGAATTGTTGTGTTATGTGGCTATACGCCTGCCTTCCATCCCAGAGGAGGCTGCATTTCAGTGAAGACAGTGTAAGCAACTTGTCATCCATTTTGTAAAGTCTGGTGAGCAGAATCTTTGGCTGTAAGTTGCTATAGAAGCACCATTATTATAACTGCTTTAGAGTCTGATTGACAGAGGTGCTAACATGGCACATTTCCACTGGTGGGAGGTGCATATGCTCAGCACTCTCAAAATCCAGCCATTAGTTTATTTCAGGGCGACTATAACAAATCACGAATGTTAAATGTATTGAGCCTGTAGACCTGCTGACTGCCGTTGGTTTATAGGCATTACAATCTACATGTCTGGATGTTTTGGAGAAGCAGCTTCCAGTGAAACCTATGGAATAAATCAGAGGTTGAGTGCGCTCCAACATGGCCAAGGGCACATTCCAATGGAAAATATCTACAGCGTGTTACCCCGCAGGCTCGAGGGAGCTGACAGGAACAGTAAGTTCACCCACAACTATTCAATCCCTAATTCTCCACCTATGGTCTTTCCAATCTACAGCAGATGCTCACTGATGTCGGAGGGCAAGATTCTACTCTCATTTACAACAGTCTAATGTTAGCGTAAACCCACTGAAGTCCCTTGACTTACTTTGGATTTTTACTTTGCACTATTCTATTCTATGCAGGTTCTCATACTGGGCTAACGCATCTGGGTGCCTCCCAGTAGTGCATTAAACATCATGACCAACATCTATCACCTGTTGTTTGTTCTGTCATCCTCTCCCCAGGGGGAGAAGCATATGCAGCGCAGTGTCTTGTTTTGGTAGGGTTTTAAGTTTGTTGTTTTTAAATATACACGTTGCTGTGAATTTATGTTAGAGAAAGTGAGGTCAAAGAAACACACTTTGCACTTGGAGTGAAAAGTGATGAGGTTTGTGAAGGCCCTTAGTTCCCGGAGGAGTTTATTCCACAGTATTGGACCAGTCCCCAAGAAAGTTCCGTCTCCCACACGGCCCAGCCTTACCCTTATCGTGCTAAAAGCAGAATTGGCCTCAATGTCTAATGTTACTCATGTTACATGCACCACTGACTGAGGACAGTTCCGTAATCATATCCTGAAAGCTCTCAGCCCACACGCCCATCAGACACCCCTGACAATCCCATTCCCTTTGGCTTATGTAACACACACCTCCATTGTGCTAGTAACGCACTTGGCTGCAGTGCAAGATGCTCCCAGGTTCAGCATGAGCCTTGTGAATCCTGTCTTGCTCCTTCCCTTCCCTGCTTTTTGTTTGCCAGGGGCGGGGGATGGATTTACAAAAATTACTGGAGTAAAGTTGCGCTGCTGGACAAACAAGCATCAGTGCAGTGCTAAGGAAAATGAAAGTGGCAAGTCTGGTGATACCAATGTGTTTATACAGACTGCAGGAACATCTCAAATGGTGGGTTGGGACCCCAAAGTGGGTCATGACCCTGTTTTAATGGGGTCGCCAGGGCAGAAGTTAGACTTCCTGGGATGCGGGGATGAAGCCAAAGCCAAAGCCTGAGCCTCACCGTCCGGGGCCAAAGCCCAAGCGCTTCAGCACTGGGTGGCGGGGCTCAGGTTACAGGCTCCCCACCTCCTTGCTGAAGCTTTCGGGTTTTGGCCCCCCACCCCTGCCCTGGATGGTGGGGCTCAGGTGTTGCTCCCATTTGGAGCAGTGGGGTTTGGGCTTTGGCTTTGTCCCCTCGCCCCCAGGTGACGGGGCTCAGTCAGGCTCAGGCTTCGGTCCCCCCTCCTGGGGTCATGTAGTAATTTTTGTTGTCAGCTTACCCAGGCAGTGTAACCGTGCAGAGCACAAACAATTCGGATACAGGATCAGCCTCTGCAACAGACGCAAATCCAAAGGGCCGCTGTGGGGTAATCCTGGGAAATGAAGCCTGGTCTCCTGCATGTTAGGGCAGAGCATTAACCAATAGGCTACTGTAGCCCAGGATGTTGAACTTAAATTAATTTAGGGGGCACATGTATACAGTGTTCACTAGCAATACACATGCTAACAAACACAGACCCAGACTGACTTCTGCTCCTTCTTACATTATCTAATCACTTCCTTAGGCAAAGCCCTATGCAAACAGACAAACCTTGCATCAGGCTCTGAAGGGCAGCAAACTCAGGCTCTGTTTGATCAACAGAGGGAATAAATTCCAGGACTCACCACTGAGAATTTCAGATCTGGGGGCTGACAGTAAAAGCAGCCCAGCTAATGTCACCTGTCTGTATGACACACAGGGAGGCAGGCTGTTAGCCAGGTAGGCAAACCATCTTCCTAGCTCAGTTACAGCAGTTGGAAACACACAGGAAGCCAGTGAAGTCTTGGTAGAGCTGGGCTAATGTGTTCCAAATGGCACACTACTATGGAACTGGGCAGACTTGGTCTGCACCAGCTATGGCTTGTGTGCACAGGCTAGACATGTGTGAGCAAGAGACCATCCAGAGCCGGCCCTAGGGAAAATGGCACCCTGGTCAAACTTGTATTTTGGTGCCCCTGACCCCCTACCCATTGCTCCCAGGCCCAACTGTCTCCTCTCACACATTGCTCCAAGCTCCCGTCTGCAGCTTTGCATCCCAGGCCTGCCTCACTCCTTGCTTCTTGACCATGGCATTTCCCTGACCACAGCATTCACCCGTAAGGCCAGCCCTGAGATCATCAAACATTCCTGATGTGACCCTATTGTGGCAGCAATCTGGATGAGACAACCTTGTGGTGATGGCCCAAACTAAAAACCTTGGGTGGTCATGTTGACTGAAAGAGCTGTTGGTGGGGGTGAAAAGGGAAACAGAGTGAAATGTGTTAGCAGTCAGGTTGGACTCTCAACTCTGAGCCATTATAGCAAGTTGCTGCTTACTACATGGTTGCTTTGTTCAGCAGGACTTCAGTACTGAGCCTCATACTTGAGTTGAGAACGATCACGAAAGGACTATGAGCATGGGGTGCTAGGAAATCCAGTTATTAGATAGCTGAACTTAGATCACCAAGCCATTTCCCTTGACCGACCCACCCACCACAAGAAAGAAATAACGTGGACACTGCAGGAGGTGTATAAATAGGTGAGCTGTCTATTTTAAGGCCTTTCTCTCTCTACCACTCCCTCTCCTCTCAGTAGGAATTTCTCTCTGATATATAATTAGGCTGATAAAATCATCCATAATTACCTGAGCTGTCAGTTCAAGCTGCCTGATGATATCCAGATGTTTTGGCCTTTCATCAAAGCCGTCCCCCTGTCTGAAGCTTTTCCAACAAGGCATGCCGCAGTTTCTGCATTGCATCACCCACACTGTTCCTTTAGATGAGAATGACATTTCATCGCGAAGCTCAGAAGCTACAGAGATGTCAGGAACCTGGCAATCCTTTCCACGCATAAAAGAGGTTGGAATGAAGGACACTGCAGTCTGCTGTCACTGCAGCCGCTATTCCATTCCATCCAGGGAGGTGGAGATTAGAGCTACAGAAGTTGCCATGCATTATGGGACTTTGCATGGTGAATCAGACAGCAAATTCACAGAGAACAGAGTCCTGGCTTAATCAAGTGAAACTCCATTGATTTCAGTGAAGTTATAGCCACTTATACTGGCTCTGGATTTGGCCCCAGATATCCAATTAACTGGGAGTCAACTTAACAAACCATTCACTGGGCTAAAAATACAGCTCATCCGATTGACTATGTCCAGCCTCTCATTAACCAAAGTGTATATTACGTTTTTCATTCTTTGGGCCCAATCCATCCCTGATGTAACTCCACTGAAGTTACACTAGAGGTGAATTTGATCCAACAATGCTAAGTTAACAATAAGTTGAAAAAGTTGGGTTAATTTTATTCCCCCACACCTCTCCCTTTAATTTTCATGTAATCTCCTGCCTCTGCACTGATTCCAACTGGAAGCAGCAATGGAAGAGCTGAAATACAGCATGAGATTCTTGTGAGATTTCTAGCCCTGATTTCCAGACCCAAAAGGTTTGGCCACTTATCCAAATGGAATCTGCAAACATTTTGGGGTTCACCCAACAGTACATGCAACTTAAATCCACACCTATTAACCCCACCGTTTAATACTGCTGTCAAGATTACGTCCACCTGCAGCAGACAATGATTCACTCCCGAGGATGCCTTCTGAGGACATGCCGCCTTAATAAAGGGGATAACAATGACACTTTGCATTCATATATCCAGGACCCAGTGATATAAAAGCCAGTTACATAAGGCTCCCCTCTCAGTGCGTGTTATTAGCCCCTTTTTGCAGCTGGAGAACCTGGAGCACAGAGAGGTGGAATGATTTGCCCAAGATCACACCGAGATCAATGGCAGCGTTCAGAATAGAATCTAGGGGTGAGATTTGGTGCTGTGCCGCTAAGAAGCACAGCACAGAACTCCCAGGCCAGAGGGAAGTGGGGCTAAGGAAGCTCTTGCCAGGCTGCTCTGAGGGCTGGAGAGGCCTGTCTAGGTTACAGCAACCTCCCCAGGCTGCCCTATGAACTGCAGCGCTGCCCCAAATCTCCCACTGCAACATACCCCTCCGGCCCTCTGCATGTCCCCTACAATAGGGCTTATGATGGGGTCCTCAGAAGGCAGGCTTATGGCTGTGTTCTGCAGTGCTGCCTGTCCTGGAGCAAGCATATGTCTATGGGTATCAAGGCTTTTAGAACTGCTTTCCATTATACCTAGCAGGAAGGGGCTGGAGAGACCGTTAGGCTCTAATTCCAGATCCTTTGTTCCAGGCGCTAACCACCACATACGTTCCCTCTTGTTGAGGTACTAGGGTTAATCTGTATTTCAGGCCCATGGAGAGGGTGCAAGAGAGGGAGAAACAAAGAGACAAAAACACTCAAAGGGCACTTTCTTTCCTTTACTACTGCAAACGACCCATTAGTAATTCCAACTGCTCCTTCCCCTCACCAGCCATCTCGGCGCAACCAGCCCCACATATCTAAGACCTAACAAATCTCATCTCTCGGCAGTAACAGAAGGGAAGCCAGGTTCATGCTTAGACCTCCTTCCTCTCTAGGGGATGACTAGTTCCATTATCCTCTTCTAGAGAAAAGTTCACCAGTCATCAACAACAACAAGAAAAGAGAGATAATTTTGGCATGATATATGGCTTCCCAGTGGTGAGTTCAGCTTACGCAATAAACGGCAACACTAGGAAGTAACTTGCAAGACATGTGACTTAACTAACTGTTTATTTTTGTCTGACAGGTTTAACCTTTATAATGCTGCCATTTTTCAGGCCGCTAGTCAGAGCAATGTCTCAGTGGATATAATACCTAGCCCTTACATAGGGCTTTTCATCTGTAGATCTCAATGCACTTTACAAAGGAACTCAGTGGGGAAACTGAGGCGCGGATCTGTATCATGGAAATTAGGGATAGCTTGGTTACCTAGTTCTGGCACAGGATACTTATTGGCTAGCACAGGGTACATTTTTAAAGAATTTTTCTAGTCTTGTTTAAATATCCCCAGTGACAAGAATGTTATCTTTTCTTAAGCTATTCCACTGCCTAATAGATCTCCCAGTGAGGCCATTTTTCCGATACTCAGACTCAGTTTCTCTTTTTAAATGTCATCCTCGTCATATAGCCCCTTGGAATGCCCGAAGTAGGCGTCCATGTGTGGTAAACTATTAAATAGCAAAGCTAGAAAATTGTAATAAAATAATGACCGCAATTAATATAACTGACCCATAAATATAGGAGTGCTACATTAGCGCTGAAAGACATAGTGGCATGGATAGAGAATGATCACCGTAAAGATTGTGACCATGGATATTTTCAATGTTAGTTTACTGGCAGGGGTATAATAGTCCCTACTCAACAGGGCAGGCTCTGTATTACACACCCTAGTCCTTTATTCTTTTGTCCCAGTCAAGCTGGATACATGTTCAGGTAGTGATGCTATGAGCAGACACAGCAGGAAATGCTTTCATTTGGGAAATGCACAGCACTTGCATAACGTACAAGACTCAGCATTTTTTGCTGGCAATAATTGAAAGAAGGTGCCAGATAACTGGATGTTCAACGAGGCTTTTTAGGCATTGATGAAACAGGTGAGAGACCTGCCTTTTCAGAAAATTGTGAGGCAAGCTGGAAAAATGCAGTTAAATTCGCTTGGGGAGTTGTAATTTGTGTCGTCATTTTTTTTTTCTTTGCAGGCTTGGCTAGTCAGACATTCAGTGGATATTTCCAAGTTTGCAAAACCCTGTAATCGTTACATTATCTTGGCAGGGAGGCAATGTGCCTATGGCTTAGAGCACTGGACTGGGATGCAGGAGACTTCTGTGCTATTCCCAGCTCTGTCACTGGTCTACTGGGTGACCTTGGGCAAGTCGCTTCTTCTCTCTGTGCCTCAGTTGCCCCAGCTGTAAAACAGGGATAATGAGTGACCTGGTTTGAGCTCTACTGTTGAAAAATGCTGTATAAACGTTATGATGCTCCTGCTGCTGCTGATTACGTGTTTCCAACCGCCAAGGCACACTAGTGTCAGGAATCTTTACTGAGAGCCAAGAGTTGCTTCAGATTAACTCATTAGACTGTGTTCCCACTACAATACACAGTTGTCCTGGCTCTCTCAGACCACTTTAAAAAACACCAACTAGGGAATAAGCTCAGGCTCCATCAACCCTAAAGGCAGGATTTTCAGAAGCACCTAGGTCACTTAGGCACACTGGTTCCGCTGGATGTCAGTGGGATTTTGTGAGGAAGAGTTTCAAAGTCACACATGGCAGTAAGATGTGCTCCCTCGTAATGCCTTTTAAAATAGTCAGTGGCCATCTCTGCCTGTGGTCCTAAGTCACTAAGGCCTGTGCTACACTTACACGTTTTATGACATAACTACATTGACGAGAGGTGTGATTTTTTTTTTTTTTGGCCAAAATAGTTTTACCTCTGTAACCCCTCTCAGGGGCAGTGGAAACTGGCAGGGATCCATTCCTGCGTAAACTCACCCCTAGAGAGGGGCACAGAGATCAGAGCAGGACCCAGAGGGGCTGGAGCATCTGCCTTGGGGCCTGGGATTGGGCTGGGAAGAAGGGCGTGGGATCCAAAGGCGCTGGAGCAGTACCTTGGCACCTGGGATCAGCCCAGGGAGGAACCCCCAGGATTCTCCTGCCCATCCTGGAGCACCCTGTCCCGCTGAATCTCAGTACCTTCCCTCACACCCCCTTCTGTCCATGCAACCCCTTTTGTGGTGACTTTACCAGTATAACCCTTCCCTGCTTACAGGAGTCTGCAGTGCAAAAGGCTGAGAATCTATTCCACTACATCTAGTCATAATGGAGCTGAGTAGGTAGTCACAGTATTCCTCCCTGCCTCATACCACTGCATTACCCTAGACCCATTGCTAGATGTAATATTTTATAAAAAAGATACTTGTCTCATTACCACCTACTGTCTATGGTTTTTTCCTAGGTTCTCATGTACCGCGTGACTCATATCACTGCAGAGTTGACTTATAAGAGCTGCTGTGACTGCACATCGGTCACCAGGCACAGCTGAGGAAGGACTTGAGGCACACACAAAGCCGCCTCCAATCAGCACCTGAACCCTACATGGCAAAGCATTACTTTGATGCTGTGACCACGCTGCTCTGCAGAAGCTGCTCTACATGCTTTCTCCACACAAAGTGCTAATGCTAAGTTTACAAAGGTACAATGGATTTGCTGTGGTTGTTTAAATGTGATTTTTCTAGTTTGCTCTGCAGATCTTGGTCTTGCTTTGCAGAGCTTGGTCTGTACAGATGGTTGCCAAAACACGCAGGTTCAGGTAAACATTAAAAGCAGAGGTAAACTTTTCCCCTCAATATTTATTGACTGTGGATGAAGATTTCTCCTATGTAGAGGGCCAGTGCAGGACCGAAGCACCACTTAAATCCTCAAATTAGGTTAATAGACTGAAGTGTTGTCTCAATTTTGTGCTCTTTGCACAAGAATGGATTTCACCCTATAAGCTCATTGGCATTTTGATATAGCATTAAAGTTCATCTTCATTGTCAGCTTGAACTAGGTGAATATAGTTGGTAATCCAGTGCCCAGAAAAAGAAGAAGGAGAATTGTTTTGCAAAAATTTCTCGTGTTTCATCAAATGCATTTTTGGTGCTAAATTTCTGATCAGCTATGAAACTGGCTGGAAAACAGAGTTTGTTTGTTTTCCTTTCCAAATACTTTATACATGTTTTTCATTCAAATAAATAAAAATGTTTTGGAGAAATGTTTAGGGAGTGCTTATTGTTATTGAGACTCTGGGCCTGATCCCAATTTAACACTGATGTAAATCCATTGACATTAGTGAAGTTATGTTTAATTCCAACATGTTACCCTTTCTGCTTAACAATCTGTCCCAATTTATATTCAGTTCCAACACTCCGCTTCCTTCCCCAGGTCTAAAGAAGAACTCTGTGTAGCTTGTACCTTCTCTCAGCAGAAATTGGTCCAATAGAAGATATTACCTCACTCAGGGGGGTGTCATTTTTAATTTATAGCAGTATAAGTGAAATCAGATTCAGACCCTAAACTAACATCACAGGCCTAGAGAGGTCCCTCCGTGTATACCCCTACTAGTGTGGTGGGGGAGCTTATATTGCTACGGTCCAGGCAGAAGGTATCATCCCAGACTACTTCACAGTGACCTTCACAGTGGTACTGGATCCTGTTCTCTAGTCACCATTCCCTTCCATGACTTCGGATTCCTGGCCAGGACTTAGTATGACCCCCACGTGGGTACACTGGACAGAATGGGCTGTGTTAATCTGGGAGCGAAAGACAACCACAGGGCCCATCTGTGTCCAGTAGCGTCAATAAGTAATCCTCCTTATATTTCTCATGGCTAAGTCCTGTCTGTTCTGAAGACAGGAGGACAATACAAGCCCTCTCCCCCTTCTCAGATGCTGCCCTTCCCCTAACATCTGTAAGAAAGAAATCAACTACATCTGTTTTGAAATGAACTATTAAACTTTTATTAGCTGCGAAAAAGCAAATAACTTTGACCATACATCTTAAATACAGTTAGACATTTAAAATATTGCAAGAACAAATTACACCTGATGTCAGTTTCTCAATGACATTATTCACTGCTAGTAGCTTGTACAATATGTACATACTGAATAACAGACAATACGATCATGCCATATTAGTTATACAAGAACAGATACACCTTAAATACATTTTATATAAATACATCTTAAATAAAACAGATTATTTAAATAGAGCTTATTTAAAATAAATAACATTTGGAACTTGCAAAGCACCTTTCATTAGAGATCTCAAATGAGTGTTATGATGGAAATGTAGTTTTAGTTCTAAGATACTTTACAAGTTAGTGTCTGATAAGCTCTTGTCACTTATACCTGTGCATAATGTGATGTGAGAATCTCAAAAGGTTCCGCTTTGGGTGAATACTTATCTAAGTTTATCTAAACCTCTTGGGACTAATTCTCATCTCACTGACACCAGAAGTGAAGTCCTGGCCCCTTTCAAAGCCAATGGCAAAACTCCCATTTGACTTCAGTACAGCCAGGATTTCACCCCAGATATATAGATACACATCTCCATCTACTACCGTGGGGTTTCTCCTGATCTACATGGATGTAAGTGAAAGGAGAAGATTTAGATCCAGCGTTTGGTTCAGGCCCATCGTTAGTAGAAAGTACCAGACAAGTAGCGATATAATGTTGTTGGGCCCTGTGAAATGGAAACAACATCAGTTTGTTCCTGATGTGACATCTCCACTCCACTCCCATGGCCTGGGGCTGAGAAGCAGTGAGTGCTCACAATTCCAGGATCAGGCAATCTGCTTTAGCTGTGCAGTGCCGTCAAATGAAAGTAGCTCACAGCCTATATCACCAGATCCCTTGAGATTCTAAAGATCAGGATCTTGGGGAATTTCTCCTTGAGCCATGCAGACATCTGCCTCTTTCAGTAACAAACAACGAACATGCACAGGACCATCGTCACCTAATGTACACTGTCAGACCTTCCATGGAGCTACATCAGTTTACTCTGTGTTACAGAAAGCAAAAACGACATGAAGATTTGTAAATAATTTCGAAATAAATAAGTTATTGAAATAAAAAATAGGCTGTGTTCTTGATTTTCTCCGTGTTCTTAGTTCTTAATCCCTTCCATCCAGACGAAGAGAACGTCCAGCTCACCCAGTGCTTTGTTTGCTGCAGCGTTTCTATCCAGCTAAAGAAATAAAACCAAGTCATGCTGTTAGTGCCTTCATAAAAAGCTGTAGATAAAATTAAAGGTTGATCATAGTGATTTGGTTTTGCATATACACGTTTTACTTATGTAATCAAGGTGATCTCGCAGGACTTTACTAAAGGAGCTCATTTTAATTTTTTGAACTGATTTTCTCTTAATCTTATAAATTGAAGACTGGAGACTGAAATGGTAGACACCGTCAAAATTCATGATTTAGCCAATAGGTATCATACAGTTACCACAGTTAATTTCTACGTAAAATCTGGAGGAAAACTGGTATCTTAGATATCAGTATGTGACAACTATTTGCAAATTCTGATTCTTAAAAACAATGGGCAAAATTTTCAAAAAAACCTAAGTGTTGTAGGAGCCTAATTCCCATTTTCAAAAATGACTTGGGCAACAGTTGATGGGATTTAGACTCCTAAAGTGCCTAGATCCTTTTTAAAAATGAGATTTAGGCTCCTAAATCAGTTAGATGTTGCAACACCGAGTACACCACCACTTGAATACCTTTCAAAATCTGGGCCTAAGCTCTGTGGGGCAGGGACTGTCTTGCCCTGTGTGTCTGTGTAATGTCAAGTACAATGGGGCCCTGATCTTGGTTGCAGCCTCCAGGTGCTATTATAATACAAATTACTAATAATGAGTTGGTGTGTTGTTTGTTCCCTCTCCCCCACCCCCTCAGAGCCAGAAATCAATTGTGCAATGGATGATGGGAGAATCCCCCAAGTTACCTTTTCATATTCCTCTCTGATGAGTTGAAATCTACTGTTTGACTCTTCCCCACAGGAACACTTCCTCTGATCATGCTATGTAAAAGAAAACAAATACATTGTTAGAACTATTGGGCAAAGCAAGCAAATTTGCTTATTTTTGGGAACAGCTTAGAAGCAGCCCTGGAGACTGAAGTCCGTGGTCTGGAGCTAAGCAGGCTACCTTATATTTCCCCTACCCTGGCTTGCAGAAGAGAAAGCTTGCTCAATCTCCATGGCCCAGTCAGTCCTTTCCTACTTTGCTTAGACTGCAAAAGAATGGGAACTAGCACCAGTTATGATGCTGTTTTTCTCAGCAATGTCCACTAGGAGCTAGACAGAGATCCATCTACTCATTTCAGAAAAGCTGTCAAACCCATGGTCAGTGTTTACCAACAGGTAGCCTAGAGGTGAAAAGCTTTATGGCCCAGATCCTTAAAGGTATTTAGGCACTTAACTCCTATTAAAATCAATGAGACTTTAGGTACCTAAGTACCTTTGAGGATCTGGGCCTATTGTCCCATTTCTAATTCTGGAATCATTCAGTCACCCAGCAGGTAGGTATCAGAGGGGTAGCCGTGTTAGTCTGAATCTGTAAAAAGCAACAGAGGGTCCTGTGGTACCTTTAAGACTAACAGATGTATTGGGAGCATAAGTTTTCATGGGTAAGAACCTCACTTCTTCAGATGCAAGTCGCATCTGATGCAAGTTGCATCTGAAGAAGTGAGATTCTTACCCACGAAAGCTTATGCTCCCAATACTTCTGTTAGTCTTAAAGGTGCCACAGGACCCTCTGTTGCTTCTTTCAGCAGGTAAGTGTTATTCGAACAGACAGCACAGGCTGCGCTAGCTTATTTTATTCAAGGTTTTATTTTTTAAACATATTTCACACACTGTTCTTATAACTATTGGACCCAAGACTCCATCTTTTCGTGATGTTATTGGCCCCTATTTCATGGCATTAAAGAAACCTGATATAGGCTCCATGCTTACACAGTGTTTCAGTTTCCCCTTAATGCTGAGGAAGGAGTTAGACAGCCTACTGGTTCTTCTGCGAAGTAGGGAGCTTGTTGCTTCATGGTGCTTGAAAACACTTTCAATGTAGAACCTCAACAGATGGCGGAGTAAGCAGCAGCTCTCTGAAATCTAAGGCAAGAGGAGAGGACATGAGGCTTATCGCAGTGTCAAAATATCCTATGTCTCTTATTCATTTGCATGCAAAGTCTCTTGTTATATGCATTAACTTAAATGAAAGATACACACATATATTTGCAAAGTAAATCTTGAAATCATAGGCAATTCAGCACAATGCTCAAGCAGTTGAACTCCATAAAGTGGTTCCTCTGTCCACACTGAGCCCTGGGTGCCATGCTCATTTTCCAAGATTATTTTCCATTGTATTCACTCTCATGTTTCATCCAGCAAGCTCTCAGCAAGCTTTTGTCCATGAGATCATTGCAACGTAAGCTGGGCAAAATGCTTCTCTCTGAGCTCAGCTTTGGATCTATTGTGACTAACAGTGGTATCAGATCTGTAGTCTCATGCCAGACATGCACACTCCAATGGAAGTTCTGTACAAAGCAGGAGAGCAGAATTGGAAATAGTTCCGGGGCAGCTTGAAGAGGAGGATATCTGCTCTTTATACTGTATTCTTCATAGAATGCATTAAGGGGAAGCACTCAGGAGGCTAAACTGCAGAGGCAGCTCTTAGAGTGAGATCTTTAGATTACAAATGACACAGGGTCTTGGAGAGAAGGGCTTTAGGTGTAGACAGAGTTGCAGAAATGAAAAGACCACATTCAGATGTGAAGAGTCATAGGCACAGGGCAGGACATTCTGGAGGAAGAGGGAAAGCAGGTGTGGGGGTGTCTTTTAGACACATGACCTGTGTAAGGTAGATGTTTGGGATGAAAAATGACTCCAAGATTTCCGGTCTTGAGGGCAAAGTAAGAGGCATGGGACAAGGAGAAGAGGCTGGTGGTGAAAGGAATAGAGCGGTGATGGAACCTTGAAGGCCTCCTTCGGGGAAGGGACAAGAGGAAGATATGAAAAGCGCCACTAGAAATGAAAAAAAGCTTGTGTGTGTGAAGGTGAATTCAAAGCAGGAGGAGAGAGGGCAGGAAATTTCCCTACTCTGAGCACCAGGATTTATTGACAAATTACAGCATT